CTGATTTATAACTGTATCTCTTATGTTGAATACAATGTGGAAATTTTTAACGTACCAGTTTGTAGATTGTTTCTTAATAGTGGGGGGGGGGTCATGACCCCCATGACTCCCCTCCCTCTGGATCCGCCCTTGTGGACACCCAATAAAATAGGCGAAAACGTCAAGAAGGAAGACTAGTGAGGGTTGATGAGGCAACTGGATTTATGCCCGAAACACTGCATTCTTCCTTAATGAGAAATTAATGGAAAATCACTAAGAAATCTTGGCGCATTATTTTGTTTAAATAATAAAAATCGGTGATTTGATTGATGATTTTCCGACGTGCATAAATAAGACTTTAATTTGTTTACTCGAAAAAACGATGCGTTGATTGAAGAACTCAAGAGAGTTTTTTGTTTGGAATTGTTTGTTTTTAATGATGGCTCCAAAACGTGCATTAAGATCACTTTATTTTTTATCACTCACACGAGCGCAGGTCCAAACAATTCGCAATATTGAAAATTGGTGATAACAGAAAACTAAATTTTCAGTTAAGAAATAGTTCAGTCTCTCGTTCTTATGAAGCAATTTTTGAATACATCCAGCAACAAATAGGCACATTTTTTATTTACAAACTCCCATATAATGAATACTTTGTTTATCTCTAGAATAAATATTTAGGTCTGAAATCAATTGGTCAAAACTTCGTCTCTTTAGTCCTCAACCGCGTCGTTACTTTTTGCCTGGTCCAACGGCTACAGCAGTGGTAATGAAACCTTTGCCTCCAAATTTTTTCCTTCCGTTTCGCCCTGCAGCTGGTTTCGCTCGAATTTGATGAGGATATTCCTCGTTGGCCCACCATGGGTCGTAATCGTTCGCCTCAGTAAAAAGCGCCCAAATAGTTAAAAGTAGCAGAATAATTCTGATAATGTTCGCCTGAAATTGATTTAGGAAGTAAAAATATTTTTTTAAGTTTAAACCCCTGGTTGACTAGAAAAATGTTTCTGGAGTCGACAGCTTTACAACTCCCCACCAGGAGTTTAGTTACTAGCAAAAAAAACTTAAAAATGTTGCCTGCAACTTACTATTTTGATTGTCACCATTTCGCCAGCACCTGTATTGAATCGTTTTAATCACTGTTCTGGAACACACCAACATCACAAATATTATCATTTTTCAAGCCTTCCCAGGTGCTAAATTGATTGACCTTCCCTAACAAGTTTGGCGTCATTTACTCAACCTGGTCATTCATCTACGTATGAAGAATGACAATCGTCTAAGGTTCACACTGTGACGGAAATCTTCGTCATTTTCATTTACGGTGCCAATTAGTAAGTTTCTGCTTACATGGGAAAACATTTACAATTTGAGAAGTTGGAGATTAATTTTTCGCTTCTTCAACTGCATTATTATTATTTAATGTTTCTTCGTCCGGACATGAACATTTAGCGTATGTTTTTCATTAGGCAAAAATATCACTGTGCCCTTGCGGTTTCAAATTACAATCGACTCTTAATCTAAAATGAGAACCCTTTAAAGTCCATTTTCCTGTTCTACATATTCGCAATTTCACAATTTATAATTTTAAAAATTATCCAGCAAAGAGCGCCTCAATACAAGACAATGTCTTCCGGTTTAACCGAGCCTATTGGTGGTCCTCCAGCTGGGCCTACAAATTTTCGGAAAACATTGAAGTTGGGTGCTTCACTGAGATATTGAAAATAAAAACATACCTGCATGTTGGTTCCTGCTGGGTCCAAGATGTTCGCTGCCCACTTGCTTGGGACCAGCATGTTTTGGTGCCAAATCTTCGATCGGCTGGGCTCCTCCTTGGTTGAACATGGAGAATATCACCAACATGGAGAGAATGACCACCTGAAATTGGATAGATCATATATATTTTGTTAGAAGTTTATTTTCAAAAATTACGCTCAGAATAAGCAAAAGCTGAAGAACGTTAGTTTGGCAACCTCATGCAGAATTCAAAAATATATGTTTTTTTACAAATATTTCCACTTACGAATAATCTGTACAAACTGAACATTTTGTGCGTTTACCACTTGCCGCTCAAAAACTGTAATTAACAAAATTTAACGAAATCCTTTTATGCTTTGAAAATCGCGTGTCTGCGACTATGGAAGCATGAAGATGGCTGTGAATAACTCAATCTATCTTTTGCCATTAATTACTAAATCTATTTTAGTAGATTATATTACATAAAATTGAAGAGCGAATAAAATATCGCATTTTGCAGTCAATTATAGATATTATCTTTCGGGAAACATACAAAGGAGAGGAATTTCTAAAAACTTTATGGTTTTTGCTGCCAGTCTACATTCATCTGAGTTCATAACTTATTATTTTTCAACTGTAATACAATTGTCCAATTGCGTCTCTATAAAACTCCCACCGCAAAACCACTTTTATTGCCGATAAAACTAAAAAAAATGTCAAAAAGGTTAAATATGTTAACATAACTTTTGTTTAAAGAATACGCTATGCAAATGATGGTTTCCCTGAAATCTCGTTTAAGTGTTTGTTTATCTTTAAAGGATTTTCTTGCTTAAATGCGCAACACTTTGTATGGTTGGGCAATGCTTTTATATGTGTGATTGAAGTCTGATTGTCTCTCGAGGTCCCCAGTGTTAAAGATTACACTCATTACTAGTGATAATATTTAGATTCTTTCGTCTAGGCACAATAATTTGATTTTGGAATTGTTGTGGATTCATATCGTTTTAATAGTGAAACGTTGAACCGTGGTGCAAATGGTTTTTTAAGCCACCAGCATCAACACCCAACTGTTTGGACCAATGACATCAAAGATACTAGCGCATTTCCATGGCAACGACTTCACCGTGCCAATTAGGACAAGTTTCTTTGCACCCCGGTCTGTTTTTGCTTCCCAACTTGTGCTTTTTCATTGTTCAATGCTTTTGAATGCTAATGAAGAAACTCAGTTTTGAACATCATTCTGGAATTTTAACTGTTTTGGTAAATTTGCTGCGTCACATCATTTGTTCAAACTGCATTTTAATTTGTCATTTCTGCCGAATAACGTTGAAAGTTGTTAGTGAAAATATCATATAAATATTAGCGGGCCCAGAGCTCAAAGGATTAATAGTTCAGTAATAACCGACAGCATTTGATTGCTTGCATACGGCTCAGCTGAAAATGTTTTCCATAAAGGTATGGAGGTCTAAATGCTTTTATATTTTTTAATTTTTTTATATTTGTTGTTTTAGTCTCTGATTGTTGTCCTGATGATTGCCGCATTAGGGTGTTTCATGCTCGAAACGTCTGCCACCCCCGTACCTAAACCATTGATTTTTGTCGGTTTAGGAGGGCATGGAGGGTTTTACGCTCGCCACCACGTCTACTATGGGCATTCTTCCCCGTATTTCTACGGAAAGTGATAAGTGAATGAAATAAAATGCCTTGAATACTTTATCAAATTTTATTTCGGATTCCTGATACTCTCTGATGGGTTTGGTGATTGATTTTTTGAATTTTTCACCCGAAAATGCAAATTGGTAAACATTTTCTCAATGCTAGTGATATTCATGTCCGTGATGTTCAAATTCGTCGTGTTCAAATCCCTCATGTTCAAACTCGTCATGTTCAAATTCGTGATGATCGTGATGATGTTCATGTTCATGGTCATGATGATGCGGCATTGGCTGGCCCATAGCACTGCATGCAAGCGCCATAATCAGAGTAAATAGAAACATCTGGAAGGAAAGATTCTTAAATTAGTTTCCAATTTATCAATCAACTCAATGCACGGAAACAACGTTACTTACAATGATGGCTATTTTCATTTTGTTAACTTCAGCTCAACTTTTTTTGTCACGATTTTCAAGTGATAGTAGAAAATTTAATGAATATATGAGTAGAGGAAGCGCCTATTTATACTAAACTTTTACCTTTCCGACTGCTGGATTGATGTGAAAACGAGTTTTTGAAATAAGCCCCCATTAAAAAAATAAGTCTATTGGCATGCATTATTAGAAACTCATTAGCGAGTTAAGAACAACTGTCGTTGCCAACATCTATACATTTTTCGTCATTTATGAACCCAAAGAAAAACCACTGAGTACAATCGATAATTACAACGAAATGTTTTATTAATTTATTGCTTTTTAATGCCAGGCTTGGGAAACCCACAGGGTTTTTCCTCCTGACTTGATTTCTTCAGTTATGTAGAAAAAATACAGTCTTCTGTTGTCTATGAAATTAGAAAAATTATTGTCGTTTTGTGCAAGGGTAGCGTAAGATTATTGCCAAATTTCATGTTTTCCGTCCCATTTTGCATGTTTCTCGGAAGCAAAATGAGCAAGAACGCTCGTTTTTACATCATTCCAAAGATAACTAATGCCCTTTTTAGAACGTGAACCATCGATAAGGAAATGTTGCAGTTTTCTCAAAAAATGCTTGAATTCAAGAAGTTTTAGATTTGCGTGATTTTTTTTGAGTTGCAAAATCCACTTGAACA